GGCTTCCTCTGGGCATCCATCTGAAACTATCTAAACAGCGTCGCCCTCCACAAAAAAGACACACTCGCATGCCCGCCACCCGCCCAGCCTGCACAAACAGAACACGCGTCCGCGCACCCGCACGCCCACGCCATGCACGCACACATACGCACCACAGCGACGCAGAGAAACACAGAGAAACCCAGAAAGACAGAGACACACAAACACACAAACACACAGACACACGCACAGACACACACAGACCCACACGCAGACACAAATATACATATAGGCACACGCACAGACACTCACACACGGGCACACGCACAGACACACATACGCACAGACACACACAGACACACACACACAGACACACACAGAAACACACAGACACACACACACACACGAACACACACACAAACAATAATTGCACCATACTCTCTGTGAGAGCCGCGGTTATGAGTAAGCTTCAGAAGAGTCATTGCTGGTGCCGAGATATCACTGCATCAGTGTTGACATGGCGGACGTCATGGCACACTCAACTAGAGTCGCATCATGATCATCGAGGGTGGTGAAGTTTCATCGCGTTGCGGTGGTGGCTTAGAAACAGGAGGGCACACACACACATGCGCGCGTGCAAACGCAGACGCGCACGCGCGCGAACACCCACACGCCCAACCACACACGTGCATGCGCACTCACACATGCACACACGCACGCACGAACGCGTGCAAGAAACAAACACAACCACACACACAAACAAGCACACACACACAAACACACAAACACACAAGCACACACACACACACACACACACACACACACACACACACACACACACACACACACACACACACACACACACACACACACACACACACACACACACACACACACACACACACACACACACACACACACACACACACACACAAACACTCACAAACACACACACACACACACACACACACACACACACACACACACACACACACACACACACACACACACACACACACACACACACACACACACACACACACACACACACACACACACACACACACACACACACACACACACACACACAAAAAAACACAAACAAACACACACACACACACACACACACACACACACACACACACACACACACACACACACACACACACACACACACACACACACACACACACACACACACACACACACACACACACACACACACACACACACACACACACACAAACACACACACACACACACACACCAACACACACACACCAACACACACACACACACACGCACACACACAGGCGCACACACAGCGCACACGCACACAGACTCGTTCATCTTCAGATCACGTAGTAGACGGGCAGGTGGCCATTTATCAGTGGGTGTGTGAATGCGATGTGGGACTGGTGGGTTGGGGGGATTCCTCAACTGCAGCAAGTACCATCAAGCACAAGGCCGGGCTGGCAGGATTCCGCCTCGTTGTTGCACGAACATTCGTGCGCCCACCATGAAGTAGCGTAAGCTCGGCGACATCGCCCCGGGAAGTACCTAGGCGTTGCATGTTCTTTTCGGCGATGTTCCATGCTGCGTGCCCGGGGTTGTTGGCGAGGTAGCGGTCGTGTAATACCAGCTAAGATGACTGAAAGCGATCATCCAAGTCCTGGTTGTGCAAGATGAAGTGTGGGGTGTCCTCGGTGCAAGGTTGAAGGATCGCATGAGGCCACAAAGCTTCGGGCCTTAACCACTGGGCCTTCTCCTCTGGAAAATCATCTGGGACCAGAAATCTCCTTGTCCGGTCAAGCTCCAGCGTGAGATTTCAAGGGCAACCCCCCAAAAAATTAGGCAAAGGCGGGGGGGATGATGGAGGGAACGCGGAAGGCCACGGGGTGATGGATGACATAAGCGGTGCGCACGAACAACTTCCTGGCGTAGCAGCCGGCGAAGGATGATTGGCCTGCCGGTAGTGACTTGCTTCTTGCGCTGGGTAGGGTGTAGGCATTGGGAAAGCGGCCGCGCCTGTGGAAAGCCCAAATGTGTCTTGGCATAGCGCGTTGAAGGTGGTGATCTCAGTCATCTGGTTGGTAACTTCTTTGAAGATGTCAGAATTACACCATCATGCGGTTGTACAAGATGGGGCAATACGCGGATGGCGTAAAGCGCGTCTGTCGAAGATGGCTCTGCCGTATTTTCCAACGGTGCTGGGCGGTTGTTGTAGCCAATGGTCATGGACACCATCGGTGAACTGCAGTAGTGTGGGCCAGGATAGGTAGAAGATGCTCTTCCCGTTGCCGCTGGCGATGATGTGAAGAGGGATGTCCGTACCGCGGCAGGCTACGTGGCCACCGAAGAGGTGGTGCGACTGTGCACGTACAGGCACAAGTGGTAGGTGAATCCTGCGACCAAGTGGTCAGTGCTTTCTTGTGGTTGTGTAAGGACTCCGCTACATGGGTGTTTTATTGGTGTGTGTGTGTGTGTTGAATGATGGCACGGCATGTAGAGGAAGTGCGTGGTGAATTCCCTGCACATCTGCTTTGGGCCCTCGACGAGATCTGCGCGGTATCGGTCATGTTCAAGGTAAGGGGCGCATACACGGGTAGGTCGTGGAATATGTAGCGTGTCTTTGCAATGTTGCGCAAGTCTCTAATGCAAACGGTAGAGCGCAGTTGAGGCATATTTGTTGCTACTCAGTGTAGGCATCTGCAGGGAAGTTCCAATTGCGCCGCATAGGATCTGGCGGTGAGTAGTGTCCATGTAGCGATGCGTGCCCCAAAACTCATAGCTGCCCTTTCTGAAAAGTTAACCTGCTGGGTTGATCGTGCTGGTGCACGCAGCGTCTTCGAACACGAGCACGATGTTCCGGAAGGCTGTGTGGTGCTTCACTCGCCGGTTGATGGGAGCTGAAGTGTTGGCGAAAATGCAAAACGCTGGTCCCGGGCAGTCCATGTTTCTGAATCTGAATCTGAAATAACGGCAGCACTGAACGGTGATTCAAGGGAAACGTGGTGGGGCCAATTATTGGGAGGGCCCAGCACCGAAAAGGTGCCCTGCACGATGACGCTCCTCCCTGAGACGACCTAGCATGGACCCGTCAAGCACGGCGCCATGTCGGACGCGCTGAGTGCAACAGACTTTGGCATGCAAGAAAATGAACTGGTGTGGAGAATTTGAACAAGGCAGATACGCAGAGCTTTTCAGGCTCTGTATTCCACTAGCTTCGTTGGCCAGCGTCATGGTCTTGTGCGCTGGCGCCTTCATATTTCGGATTCGAAATAAATTCCGGCAGTGACGCCATGCCTCCGTGCACGAGGAGCTTTCACGCACACACACACACACAGACACACACACACACACACAGACACACAGACACACAGACGTACACAGAGACACACAGACACCCACAGAGGCCCAGAGACACACACACACACACAGACACAGGCACAGGCACAGACACAGACACAGACACACACACGCAGACATACAGACGTACACAGAGACACAGACACCCACAGAGGCCCAGAGACGCACACAGAGACACAGACTCAGGCACAGGCACAGACACAGACACACACACACACACCCTCCCCAAGCCTTGCGGGGGTCCGCCTCCCATTCAGCCACTGCCTGCTCCAGTTCCCGGCCTAGTTTGGCGGGAATGAGCCGTCGCCAGTTGCTGCTGCAGTTCGGGGATCATTCCGACTCGTTCCAGAATTCTGCTGTTTGCAAGCGGTCAGCACAATCGAAAGGTGCCTGGATCCAACCCACTGACCTTGCGGGAAGTGGAATGACCTACAATGAGAAGAGAAGCTAACTCAAGGAATGCCAGGACACGTCAAGATAAGCATAGAAACATGTTTCCTGGGCAGGGAAACCGTCGGAGCAATGGAACCTTGAAACCCTCGCAACTTTTGCAGAAAGTCACTGTCCTATCGTCCTGTGCCAGTTGGGATGCACAACGTCAAGGACAAATATGGTGCGAAGAACGCAGTCCAAAGCATCACAAGCGGAGCACAGGGGTGCCAGATTTCTCCTCAGATAATCAGATAATGGTGGCACTTGATTTGTAAAGGGTACTGGCATAATAGAAAGTGTTTTCCTCATTCTGGTTCGCACCCATTGTTTAAGGGGACCAGAATAATAGAGAGTTTTTTTGGCCGGGTGGAAAATTCAAAAAAAACTCCACAAAGCAATATTAATTTAAAAACCATCCCCCTCCCAGAAAATAAACTATCAGTTGCTTTACTCAAAAGCATTCCCCTTTCAATTGGTGGCCCAATGGCTTAAAAGCATCCTTTCAGTTGGTGGCCCACTTGCTTAAAAGCATTCCCCTTTTAATTGGCTGCTCAACCACAGAACCCAAAGCCAGCTGAAACCACCCCCAGCCCTGAAACTGCAAACTCTTTATTAATCCGTGTTAAACCATGCAAAAAAAAAAACAATCAGGACCCTCACAGACCCCACTGAACCACAATAATGTGATTGTATTAGGGGAGCACAATAGTGGCAAGCCCCCAGCCCCCCCTCCCAGAAAATAGGCTATCAGTTGCCATACTCAAAAGCATTCCCCTTTCAATTGGTTGCTTAAAAGCATTCCCCTTTCAATTGGTTGCAATACTGAAGCAGTATTCCAAAAAGCATGCTCAGGAAGAAGTGGTTGCTATACTAAATTAGAATTGCAAAAAGGAAGTGGCTGCAGTACTAAAGTAGAATTGCAAAAAGGAAGTGGCTGCAGTACTAAAGTAGAATTGCAAAAAGGAAGTGGCTGCAATACTAAAGTAGAATTGCAAAAAGGAAGTGGCTGCAATACTAAAGTAGAATTGCAAAACGGAAGTGGCTGCAATACTAAAGTAGAATTGGGCCCCAAAATTCTCCATTGCTTGGACGTCCCAAAAGTGCGCCCCCTTTATTTGGGCGCCTCCATTGTCCAGGGGGGGGCCTTTATTAATCAAGTGTCAACAATATCTCGTACTTCGTCAGCCCCAAACCCTTGAGCGTCCCGGCGGCGGGACCCCTCAAGCTGCGCCAGGCGCGCCGCGGCCAGGCGCAGCCAAGTGCCTGGTCCGTAGCCGCCGTGGCAGGCGCAAAGGCTCTCCTGTCAAACGGGCGAGGAAAGCCAGGAGCATCATCATCAAACCTACGTGTTCAACTGAACGGCGACAATCCTCTAACCTTTTTGCCGTTTTTGTTGACAGGCGCCCTCGGCTTCGCTTTGCTCGCCGTCGCCTGCAGCAGGCGCCTCCACGTTCTGTTCGAAGCTGTGAAATCCGTCGCCTCCGCCGCTGCGAACACCGCCTCCATGGAAGCGGCCACGTGGCCCGGGGACAAAGGCGCCACCTCCGCCGTGACCTCGCGCACTGCCTGAGATCCCCGGCCGTCTTTTGCTGAAGCCTCACAAGCTTGTGTTGGTGGTACGGCCCGCTGAGGTCAGCGAATAAAAAACAGATGGTCTACTAAAACGGCTGGCCCAACGCCGAAATACAACGCAGCCCCTTTCGCAGCTAGTTACACGTTCCTGTTTGATGCGCCCGCAACCTCATAAATTCAAGACATGCTCCATCCTTGTCGCGGTCGTTCCACGCGCAGTCTTGTTTTCGTGCTAAAAGTTGCTGTTGCTGTGCGCAAACAGCAACTTTCACGTGCGACAGTCGCGCATTCCGCCTGCGTTCTCGGGCAGCAGCCTTCAAGGCGCGCAAGTGGTCTGGCACAGCCTTGCGACTGCAACACGTCTTCATGTTCTTGGGTCTGTTGCCCTCGCGTGATCACGTGAGCAAACTCTTCAGGCGCCAGGCGGTCACCCAGGCCACGCGCTTCCCGAATCCTGAAGTATGGGGTGTTTTACTTGTGGCAAAATTGGCCTGTTTGTAGTTTTGCACCTCATAGTTTGCGACATATGCGTGGGATTGTCAGTATAACACACTACAAAGATTGCTGCTTTTTCTCACAAGATATCTTAGGTCCAGGTCGCGCCGCGCCTGGGGGATTTCAGAAGTGTCCATTGCCAAGCGCTGTGTCAATGAAGTTGCTATTCTATAAAAATGGTTGATGGGCAACTCAGTGCAGGCAGGAACCTGCCCAAACACTTAAGCAGCAGAACCTCTGAACCGTTCCTGACGAAGTACGAAAGCTGAGGCCTGGACCGTTCTGAATCAAGTTGCGAGCGTGCTCTAACCCGTCTTGGTTCAAGTTCTGAACATCCCTGCCACGGCACCGTTCTGATTCTGAACCATTCACAGGGAGGATAGCTGGAAACAACAGAACCATTCTGAACCGTTGCGGCGCGACTTGCCATCATTGCCATATGTCCTGTGCTGAAAATCTAACCCTCACTCCAACTCCATGACGGATCCCAATCTTGATAATTCCAACCGGCATGGATTCTGACACTGGCATTTCCTGTCTTTCCTTTGCCTTTTCCCAAGCATGCCTGGTGTCTGCCACGCTCCCTTGGAAGGGTTTGAAACCGCACCGTCGGCGATTGCCTTTTCTGCCTTTTGTTTTTCCTTTTCTGCTGCCTGATCTGAGTTTCGCCCTGACACCTTCATGTTCATCTTCATCTCCAACCCAAAAACCTTCTTGTCCTTCGTATTCTCCTTGCTCAAGTTCTGTTGTAAACCTCCTGGTGGGACGAAGTGTTGGATCCTGGATCGAAGTTCCGGCTGTGTTGAAGAGATCGTGATACTGTGTCTGCAGCATGTCATACGCGCAATTCTCTAACTTGATGTTCCTCAAAGACATTGTGCTGAGCAGTCTTTCTCTCTGCTCATCTGACAGTTCTCTCTGAATGCTAAAGAACTGCGCAATGAAGTTATCATTGAGTGGAAGGGTGTCTCTGCTGCATTCCGTTGACAGATTGTACCAAAGTCTCCGGATTAGGTTCAGGAATTGCATGGGCGACGCTCCAGCCTGAGTCGGTTGCTGAGGCTGCTCTTCTGTTTTGAGCCTCTTGCACTGATTGCAGGTAATCTGGTGATTGCGCCGTTGTGGCGGGGGCATCAGATCATTCCACGCTGCCTTCTGTCTATGTAGCAAGATCCCGAACTTGGAAATGAAAATGAGAAACTTTGCGTTGTGCCTCCTGTGACTGAAGAAACTGAGGGTCCGATAAAGATACACGTCAGGAAATGATTCTTCAGCGTTCTGAAGTAGCTGACTTCTTCTGTTGAGTCTTGTAGGAAAGTGTTGTCAAGCAAATCTCGATACATGAGTGCACCGCCAATGACTCGGCCTTTGCGGAGAGGAATGAGGTCCAATCATCAATGGGCTCCTGGGCCCGCTGACTTTTCCGTCATACGATGGCGGCTGCTCAGCCATCGTGCGCAAGTCACTGCCCTGCTGCGCGGGTGTAGACCTCCGTGAAGCTTTCCCCATCTGATGACATTCTGATGCTTCTTGTCGGATAAGCTTGCTTCGCTACCGCAAATGAGTCCTGTTCCGGTTTCGGGGGCAACAAATGTTTGAACAGGACAACTAGCAGTGTCTACATGGCCCTGGACCTGTTTCTGGCAACAAATGTATGCGTGGTACACATGACTGCCGAAAGGTCACGAGTCTGCAAAATACAGACCCTCCCCCCCCTGCTCGAAACCGTTTTGGGCGAATCCCTTTGACAAAGCCGCGGCGCCAGCCACAGGTGCAGGGCCTCTGCGCGGGCTTGGGCTGTGAGCCCGAAGGCGAGCTCCCACGCGGGGCCCACCCAGAGGGAGCCCAGCAGCAGCCGAAAGAAGGCCTGCGCTTTGTGGGAAGTGCGAGGGAAAGCAAGGAAAACCGGCCAGAAAGGAAAATGAGGGAGGAACGCAGCCTCGCTCAATCCCGCAGGATTCATCACAAGTAATGCTAACCCACTCGTTCATGAACCCGAGGCTAAACACAGCGACTAACTGAATGACCTGGGGCGCCCGGCTTTCTACACATTGGTGCGGGGGCGCTGCTTGAGTATTAAAAACGGGGAGTCAACACTTTGAGGCGGAAATGGCCTTAGTGATGGGAAGGGTTTGTCACAAATCCTCGCTCAAAACCTTCTGCAAAGAAACAACCAACCCTCAATCCATAATTCGTCACCTAGAAGCCACATAATCCAATCTGCAATCCCATTGAGGATTGCGACATTGCAGGAACTTTGCTTGCCAAGTTAAGGGGCGCCATGCATGGGACGCCCGGGTTCACATCCAGCTCAGGGCAAGGGCCTACAAGGAGCGCCAACCCTCTTCACAGACGCCTCAACTCGCAAAGCCAGCACCGTGCGCCAACAGCAACTACACCAAAGAATGGAAGACCGCCGGAAGCAAAAGAGACTGGCCACAGCGAGGTCATGTGACAAGGCGCCTGCAAAGCGCTTCCTGCTGCGTCAGCTTCGTCAGCTTGTTGGCGGGCTATGTCTAATGCATCGACGTCTGCTGGCCCGCATTGCAAACACTGCTCGTAGCCTGAGCCAAAGTAGACTTAAGGTTGCGAGTGAACTTGAACGATTTTCATGATGAATTTGGAGGAAGAGTTGCTCAAGTGGTTTGGCGGATTAGGAGGCGAGTTGCTTGCCGGGCTTCAGAACAGCCAGAAATCGGCAGACCAACTGAAAATGATGAAAGCAGCCAAAAACCCGCCCGTTTGGGCATTTCTTTAAACAAGTTTAATGATGTCGAAAAACAAGGTAACGGCGCCGTTAGCGACCGTGGGGCCCCGCAACACCATCATTGCACCGGTCAAAGCCAAACCTATGGCAACTACCAGTGCAATTTCAAGCGTGGCAAATTGAGGCGTTGTCGCACGTGCTGTATTTTGCAGCACTTGTATCTATTTTCTGCCTTTCCCAATCTGTCTGAGACTCTTGTTCTCAAGCCAATGCAAGCAGACGCAAGAACAGCTGGGTTCTGGTGGGTTGAACGCCACCGCAAGTTGACCAGAACAACCGCACCACAGACCTGTGGGCATGATGCCAAAGTCCACAGTCAGCTCAAATGTCATTGCGCACAGGTGTATGTCCGTCTATGTGACTATTTCTGGTCAGTCTGCTTGCGCGAGAAAAGCGGCCTGTGCATGAGCAGCGTGCGCAAGGATGGTGTGTGTGCACAAGAGTTTCCGGCGCTCACGGCGTGCTGTGTGTCCGGCTGCATGTGTGTCTGCACTAATTGGCTGTCGCATAGTCGACACGATTAAAAACACCGAACCACCATCCGCCCCCCCCGGCCAACCCCAAAAAGTGGCTTGAGAGCCCGCTGTGAGCAAAAGCAACCTCAAAGTCGACATGGAACATGGCTGCGAGATGTCCAGTCACATGGCACGTCACCAACACACATGCAAGTTAGAAACTGAATGTCAGCCCAGGGGCGCTGAAACTCACGAGCAATGTCTTCTGGCAAAGGATCCTTGGCCATGAGCGCGCAGCAGTCACCGCGTGTCATAGTTAAAACGCCCCCTTGCCAAACAAAAGGGGGCACGCATAGCACCCGCTCCGCACAAGCACTTGTTCTAAGGAAGGCAGCCAACGCACAAGCCTTGAAAAAACCGCGCGCCAAGGACCCATGCATCCCCAAAAGGGACAACGAACGGAAAGAAAGAAACAAAGCAGGAGTAGCGAACCACCACCCAGACCGACGACGCCAGCTTTCTCACGATCCTGCGCATCCTCGCACCTCTCCGCTTTCCAAACTTTTCTGGCACACCTGACAATAGAGCGGGAACGATCGTAAGCTCAAACTGGCCGAGAGGAAAAACTAGAGGGAAAACTGCGGGACACACTCTGGCCGGAGAAGCTCGGAACAACTATGCGGAAAAAATGCGCGGAGAGCTTGTAACTCTGAAAAGGTGGCCGGAACAAGTCGCAAAAATACTGACAGGAAAAAATTGGAGAAGCGGGCAAAGCCACTGGCTTGAAGTCTTCGCAAACTTTAACAAACCGGAGAACGAATCCACCTTGGTTTGCGTAACAAGGGAGAAGCCAGCAGCACAGGAGACCAACCGGGTTTGCTTTAACAATGAGAAAGCCAGCAAGACTAATGAGTTTCACCTAACAGGGTAC